GAAGGAAGGAAGGAAGGAAGGAAGGAAGGAAGGAAGGAAGGAAGGAAGGAAGGAAGGAAGGACTTAAAGCAGTGAAAACAAAACCACCTAATGTTACATATTACCTAATAGCATTTGCAAACACATTCCAGATCGGTTTATAGGATTCAGACATCGTCAACTTCAGGCCAAATAAGAGTCAATATTCCAAATTCCAAATAGAATTCCTAGGTAGGAAAAAAAGAATAAAATATTGAACGTATATATTATATATAAATATATAAGGATTTGAGCATTAATAGGTAACATGATATACAGTTTCTTCAAGTATACTAGACAAAACTTTAATACACTGTTCTTATTAGAGTCATGTATCTCAAGACTTCTATACTGACACTTATTTTCATTCCTTCTTTTTTTATAAATTCTGTAGATAAAACATACAAGCACATATTCTTGAATTTACTTGATATTTTCTTATCCAATGAAAATAATACCAAAATATTCCGTACCATATTTTGATTCATTTGCTAACAATACATGCTACGAATTCTGCCTTTTAAAATTATTTGCAAATTTCCTCTGATGAAATGCATTAGTTACCATAGAAACATTATTAGTTATATTCACCAAGACAGCAAAAAAATCTTTCATTTACACATTATATCTTTCACTTTATTAATTCTTTGTCTAAATAGGCGATTCAGTTAAGTGAGCAAAAAGCAACGGAGAAGTAATCATGTAATAAAAATAATGGTGTTTTTTTTTACCCATCTCATGATGTGTGATCTCATCCATCATTTATTTAAGGAAGAAAAGACTATTGAAGAATGTGAAAGTAGTCAAGAACATGTTGGAGCTATTGCGAAGTCAATCAAATTGTCAATTTTATCTGCATCATGTATGTGAAATATTAGGGGCACTATTGTGTCTACCCTCTAGATCAGGGGTGTCAAACACAAGGCCCAGAGGCCGGATCCAGCTCACAGCATGCTTAGATCTGGCCCACGGAGCCACCCTGGAAACAGCAAAGGACCGGACCACAGTGCCTCTGCCAGTGAAAACAGCTCAGGAGGGCTGCATGCGACTCTCCCAAGCTCCATTTTAGCTGGCAGAGGGTTGCAGGAGAACATTGCAGCCAAAAATGGATCTCAGGAACCCATTTTCACTGGCAGATCACTCAGGTCACCTCAGGCACCCCCAAAACAAGTGACGTTGAGTGGGCCACGCCCACCCTAGTCACACATGAGCGCGTGCACACACACGCACACACACACACACTGAGGTCATACACAACCCTGATGTGGCCCTCAATGAAATCGAGTTTGACACCCCTGCTGTAGATCTTAGGGTCTCTTTACGTTCTTTAAAGGACTGAGGACTCCAAAGAGCTTTGGTTGATATGGATTATATTTACCAATATTACAAACTGGGAACTGGGAAAATTTGAAGTCTTTATGTATAGTATTTGACTTTGCAAATCCCTGAAACCACACTTTGAAAACTGTTGCTGAAGACCATTCTATCACAGAATAGCACAGGGGTTTTTCAGAATTATCTGTGTAATTGTTACCTTTTCTCCTCCCTCCCCCCAATATTTCCTTTCCCCCAATAAATTCCTTTTTGCTTCCAAAGATTTGGCTTCATTTGATTTTATAATATAATTTTTTAATAAATGTTTCCTATTTGCAAGATAACTCGTGTTTTTAAGAGCTATCTACAATTTGTTATGGCCCACATGGCCAAAAGCCAATAAACTCAGTTTTTTTTAATTGTCCATCATATGTTAGTTATATGACATGGTGTGTCACTGCCTCTTTTGAATTCAGTTTTTAAATCAGACCATTCACATACTCATTCTTATTCTGTATATTGCAGAACTCTGGTTTTAAAATCATGAGGAGAACCTGCCTAGCGTGTGATATAAATGCCATTGATTGATTGATTGATTGATTGATTGATTGATTGATTGATTTAATGTATTTATTAGTTTGTCAAACATGTACAGAATAGCAGGTATAAGTATGAACATGGACATGAACAAAGGAAATGAATACAAATAAATAGGGACATTAGGACAGGGACAGCCGGCACGCTGGTATGCTTATGCATGCCCCCTTTATGGACCTCTTAAGAATGGGGTGAGGTCCACGGTACACAGTTTAAGGTTGAAGCTGTGAGGGTTTGAGGATGTAACAACAGAATCAGGTAGAGCATTCCAGGCATTGACCACTCTGTTGCTGAAATCATATTTCTGCAATCGAGTTTGGAGCGGTTTATCTTGAGTTTGTATTTTTACCTTTTGAGTATAAATGTACTTGGAGTACTCTTTAGCATTGTCCTTCTTGGCATTGAAATATAAATTGATCTTTTCATTCCCTTGATAACTTCCTTGTTCTCCATGCCTGCTTATAGACCACAAGTAGTGCTGTAAGTGAATTATCTTTGTATTTCATCAACTCCTACATCTTTGTTGTTAGCAAATGCTTTCTAATATCTATTTAATTTCACTGCAGAATGCCTGGCTCTGGTTCAGCTGTACCCTTGGTTTTGAGATGCTTTTGTTCAGTTCTTCTAATTGTGCATCATGTTGCTTAGTTAAATGCTACATCAAATGACAGTTTATTCTTCCACTGATTAATTAATTAAAAAGTTACAATTAATCTGCCAGCAGGACAGTAATCAGTTAATATATTCATGAATTACAGATAGTATATGTAATCTTAAGGCAGAAGGAAGGGAGGGAATCTTATCAGGTACCAAGTGCTACTGTGCAGTTTTGGAACTCTCATTAATTAATGAGTTCATGAAATCTCGTAACATGCTGGCATCCTTGTGATTTTTGTGGGCGAATACAAAAATATCGGTTTTTTGGAGGGAGGGGGAGGTTGTAGGCAACTTGGCATCTATAGGCTTTACACTGCCAATCACTGTTTTGAAAGGTGCTTTTTAATACAGTAGAGGTGCCAGGGGAATATGCCTCTGTTAATATGATGCCAATTGCAACATATGTGCACATTATCTTTAAAAAACAAAGTGTATTTTTTTTCGTTTTTCTTTCTAAAAGTGTTTCTTACCACATTAAAACTTACGCAGATTTAGTTAGTTAATAAAATAGTGACAGATAGTAATAAAACCTATACAATAATTACATGCTACCCACAAAAATACCTGAATAACTTGTATGAATTATTGAAGGCAAGTCAGAAAGTGGGGTTTTGCCTGAGAGACAGCTTATAAGACTCATTGTTAAACCCTGCTGGCTTATTTGGTACAGCCAGACCAGAGCAGTGCTATCCTTGGAGTAAATGGCCCTGGACAAGATGCTTGAAGGGAACTGTAATCAACTACAGAAAAGGCTGTTTAGAAGCCCATTGTGACAAAGGATGGCCCATTTGGGTCCTGTGATCTAAAACTTGCCCAAGGATGCTATGATTTGTTCCATGCATTCGTGGCCATGAAGGAGCTGATCAGAGAACTGATCCTACAGTTGACTTGTGTGCATTACTAAAACAGTTTGATCAATCAAGTTTACACAACAGATGGAAACTGTTCTAGCTGCATAGACTGAAGACAGTTAAAAAGGAATTTGAAGACTCATATGTTAGAAAAAACTCTTTCCTCTTTCAAAGAACAGTACAGTACTAAATATTATTCATCATCTTCTCTTTATCATCCTCTCTTCATATCCTACAGTAATACTGAGGCATGCACAAATTTCTATCTCGCTCAAGAAAATGTTCATGTATGTAGATAAAGTAGAACACAATAGGCAACACATACCAAGAAGACCCAACTTTCAAAATAAAATAATCCTTCCTCCATTCAATCAACTTCTTGTTTTCATTCTTAATAAGAATAAAGATACCCTTGACTTAACCCTCAACTAACAGCAATGCATTCTGGGGAGTACTAAATCCAAACTGATATATAACTGCCAAACCACTCATAGCTGCAATGCAATCCGTTACAGAAAATCCTTCTAAAAACTCTGGAATGAAAAGCAAGTTGCTGAATAAAACAACTGTTTTTAGCTCATTTCTAACAAAGTTAAATCCTTAAGTGATCCATTAAGTAACAAGCACAAAAATTAAGTAGGCAGAATTGTTTGCACTATAAGGTATCAATCTGGACTCTTTGAGCACTATAACATGCTAATGAAAATAATACAGTGAAAGTGACAAACAGTGAAAGATGGTTGTAGTCATAGGATGAGCTAAAATCTTTTCTTTTTCTTCTTTCCCTTGTTTTCTTTCTTTCCTTCCCATAATACAGTAAAGATTTCTCATACCGTTGGAGAAAAATTGAGTCAATCACCTTTCCTGTTATTTTTAGAGTATGGTAGCTGCCAGCTATTAGAATTGATAGTGGCTGTTTGTGAAAACCGATTAATGATTGAAGAAGGCTGCCCATTACTGTTATGAAAGATGGGTAACTGTCAGAGTTCTCATCTTTTCCTAAGGTGACCATTAAAAATGGAAAAATGAATGGAGAAACTTTAAGATCTGCAAATGCTTAGAGGAAGACAATGGGTAAATAGGTACTCAGTTGTGAGGAATGAATGCAAGTCAAAGAAATGAAAATGGCTATTTCAAGTTTTAGAGCAAGCTTCTGCCCATTTTATTATATAGATATGAAGGTTAGGTATCAGTACTACAGGAAAACCATAAAAGTGGAACGTAGTGAGAATGGGTGTATTCAAGAGAAATGTCATCATCAAAGAAGATGGAATAAAAAAGAATGGGTGATGAATGTACTGCAAGTCTGGAAAAGAATGCAGATTTCTAGGGCTGTCTCCATTTAGCTCTTATATGAAGAGAGTGAATCGGTTGGGAAAAGAAGGGATAAGCCATCGATATTGTCTCTTTCACTATGCCTTCCAAGGTGGAACCAAGATACGGTACTCACATGAATACAGGTATCTCACACGAACAGAAGGATTTCTTCCTTTCATGAAATGATCAATCTGTTCCAACCAAACTTTTTAGAGCTGATTTGTTTTTAAAAGCATCCCTGCTTTAAATTACCTGAAAACACATGCTCTAGCAAGATCTAGCTAGATCTTCAGGATCTAGCCTTCAGTTAAAATGCATTAATTTGGTATTCCAGATATCCCCCCCCCCCGCTTTTGATGTGTGTTTTTTTTTGTAAGAAGGAAACAAAATAGAAGAATCTTAAGAAAACAAGGGAGTCTGGTTATGTATATTTCTTTTAAAAAATATACACA